ATATTTATTCCAAATTTATTTATTCTTTCCATTATAAATGTTGCTATCGCATTATTATTTCGAAAAATTATCAATAACGATAATAACGTCAATAAATTTAAGCCTGCACTTTCTAATAATAACAGGTTTTCGGTTTCTTTTTTGCTTAATATCTTCAAAAAACAATTTGATTTAACTGGAAACTGAATCTTTATCAATTCTATGTTTATGTTTAGTCATTGCTTAGACCTAATAATCACGTATTTATTTAAGTCCAATTTTAATTCCTATAAAAAAATTCATAAGGATGGTCAAGTTCAAGAAATTCATTTTACACATAATAATCGTTTCCCCCAATTAAAAGTTAGAAAATTTACAAATAAATCCCAAATTTCGATCTTCAAATTGTATTTTAATTTATCATTTGCTATCCTAACATTATATAAACATAGAAACCAAATAAGTGATATGATGAAATTTCAGAATATCTCTACGTTATCTTATCTTGCTAAAACAAACAAATTTCTCAATTCTGAGAATTATAAATTAAAACAAAGAGCAAAAACGATCTCTATTCAATTCTATTTTAAATTTTATAAAGCAATTTTTCCAACTCCAAATGAGAATAATATAAGATTGCGACATAATGATTCTCCATCTGCTTTAGAAAGCATGCATTGGGCTGATTATGACCAAGTAGAGAATCTAAAACATCAAACTGTTTCCAAAGCTGTTATTTCTGAACAATTAGTTGTTGAGGAGAATGACAGAAAAATTGGTAATATATATAAAAGAGATCTATTGGAAAATTTTCCAACTCAAACTGAGAATCATATATTTTTGCGACATGATGGCCCATTATCAGCTTTAGAAATTATAGAATGTGCCAAAGAGCAAGTACAAAATCTAGAACATCAACCTTTTTCTAAACAATCTGTATTTGTTGAAAATTATAAGGTTGAAAACGTAGACGATGAAGAAAATTATATAATTTTTCAAGAAGTAAAATATACTATTAAAGAATTTTGCGAATATCCACGTGAAGTAAACAACGGATTTAGAATGGAAGTAAAAGATATGTTAAACACAGTTCAAGAATTACAAAAAGATATAGAAGAATTAGAAAATTTTTATTGGTATATAGATTTTGGAAGGTTTATAAATCATGGTTGTCGCTATTCTTAAGGCTTATTGCTTTGTATTAGACCATTAATAAGATGTTGCTTACTTTTTGCTTAGTCCCATTATTGAAACATTACAACCTTTTCCAAATTAACTAAATAATTTGCTTAATTTTAATGCTTATTATTGATCGGCTCAAAAGAGAATTACTATAAAAAGTTTCACTAGCAGTCCTAACCAATGAAAAAATCACATGAATTTATCAAATAACATCTGCCCTCGTCAAAGAACAACTAAATGTTTATAATCTAGTGGAGCTATCATTTATTCTAGTTTAGGGATTAATGGAAAAAACACAATCAATAAGTATCTTTTTAAAGTCTTTACTTATTTAATATACTTTGATCTAGTAGTAATAGTCTTTTCTTTAGGAATGTCATTCGTCCAGATTTTGCTATAAATGACTTTTTAAAGAGTCAATTATAGCAAAATTCTAATATTTGCCGTTCAAGACTGATTTAGATAACAAATATTGATAAAATTTTTTGTTCAACATGACAGGTTGATTGTATTTGATAAGTTTGTGATTTTTCGTTGGCTGGGATTGCTAGTGAAAATTTTTATAGCAATTTTCTCCCAAGCTTTCAAAAATAAGAACTAGTGTTAAGCCATTTATTTAGTCGAAATTTACTCTACTTTATTAAAAAATCAACACTTCTATATTTACGAGAAAATCTTGTCAAAAAAATTTATATTCTACTAATTTAGACTTTTAAATTAAATCAGAATTTCAAAATTATTCATCTATTATAAATGATTAATTTGTATAAAAATACTTATATTTCCTATTGTTTGACATATTGTGGCAGTTGATTGCTACCAGTTTTCGAATATCCATGCCATGTTCTGTGTATTTGTTCAAACATAAAAGCTCTCATTAACAACATTAATTCTACTATGATTAAAATATCCAATTTTATAATTTTAAATTGTTCAAACCATCTCGAATCAT